TAACGAAATGTGGCATTGTTTGTATTCATTAACGTTGGATCTAGGTTGATAAATCCCAGGACCTAACTGTAATATTTTATTCTTGCACGTTATAAACACTCTGAGATAAGAGGAATGCAATGATACGCGATCCACTGCTTACTGAAATTCAAGAAATACATTATGAGCATTCGAATAAATAATGAAAATTTGATAATTGGGATATAGATCATTCATATTTAAAATTTGTTATGTTATAAGATTAATAAAATATTTTTTTGAAATAGTAAACTTACATAATATAAATTATCGTGCTATTATAATGTTTCGGACAATCATTGCCTTGTTAGAATTATGATTTTGATCTAGTTTTCATGCATCGCATATCTCATATGGAACCACAGTTTGAAACTTATCGGGTTATGAAGGTTCGATACATCGGTGTGATAAGCTTCTATGGAAAAGCAGTGATCTGAAAAAGCTCAATGTGCGGAAATTTTCTGATTTAATAAAAATAATACGAGAAGAAAGAATTTATTTTGTATATAATAATATTTTAACTAAATATTTTTATACATAGGTATCTTTCTACTTTGTAATTTCATATTTTTAATCGTGTAATCAAGAATGCTATTTGGTACTTTGCCAATCTCATTTTTATTCCCCTCTCCTAAAAATTCTGTTACTTTAAAACGTTAGTAAAACGACGTCATTAGATATAAATCAATTCTCTTATTCATTTTCAGTATTTACTTAAATATGACGAGATTTAGTCATATTTTTCTAAGGTAATAACCTAAATTTGAAAATAGTTGATTTTCAAACTTCATATTATCCACAAAAGACATTATGGATTTAACATTTTTTATATTTCAGACATGTGTCAGAATTATCTGCATTTTATCAGCTAAGTCAGGTCATAGGCTATTAAAATGGGGTAAATAGATCTATTCTCTACTTTACATTACGTATAGCTGACTAAAGGTAAACATTTGGAGTCCCAGTGTCAACTTCCAAATGTCCAAAAGCATTTGAGCCAGAATTCGTATCGCATCGAGCATCGAGCCGCGCGTGGAGCGTCGTGGTTCTGACAGCGAGGGCCGCCCGAGAGAAACAGCGAGGGAGCGCTCAGGAGGGCGAATGGGAGAGGGGGCTGGGAGCGGGCGGGCGGCGAGGCGGGCTGGCTAGCAAGCCGGTGGCGGAGCAGTAGGGCGAGTAGACGAACAGTCGGATTGAGGAGCGGAAAGCTAGCGAGAGATCGGGTGGTTGGGTGGAGAGGTAACTGGGTGTGAGGCAGGACGGATGGTGACTGGACGGGAGGGGGAGGTGTTGCTGAGTGGGTGGTGGGTGGTGACTGG